TCCAAGAGCCTCTTATCTCCAGTGAAGCTTCAAAACCAGGAAGTGGAGCTGTGGCTCAAGTGGTAGTACACCAGCTTTGATCAGAAAAGCTAAAAGCTAGTGCCCAGGCCCTGAGTTCAAGCTGCAGTACTAGCACACACACTGACTGAAATAATAAAAGAAGGCAGAGGGAGACCTTCCTTTAGAGGTTCGGAATAAATCGGGAATAGCCAGGAGGCAAGAGGAAGGTGAGAAAGTAAATGGCATGTGCAAAGGTCTTGGGGTAGACCCTGGGTAGCAAAATGGAGAACGATGGGCAAAGAGTGAGAGACGAGGGAAGAGAAGAAGGAATGGAGTAAGGGAAGGACACCAGTTGGGGGGGAGACACAGTAAGGCCCTGCGTTTGGAGGGGATGAGGGGAGAGTCCCCCCCCCCCCCCCCCCCGCCCCCCCGGCCTGCTCACCCGCACTAGCCGGGCCCGCTTCACCAGGTCGTTGAGCTTGCGCAGCGCCGCGTGGCGCGGCAGGCCCTGGATGTCCCGGAAGAGATCCTGCTCCTCCAGCTCGAAGAGCCGCCGGTTGTCGGGCACCAGGAGCGGCTGGGACCAGAAGGAGCCGATGTAGACGCGCAGCACCTCGGGCGTGCCCACCACCTTGCCCAGGGCCCACATGAGCGCGCCGTAGACGCGCATGAGCTGCTGCGTCTCCACCATGTCGGCCTTGTTGAGCACCACGCGGATCTTGTCCTCGTGGCCCCGCAGGGCGCCGATGGCCTCGGAGAACTCATCCGAGATCTCCAGCTTGTGCGCGTCGAACAGCAGGACGATGAGGTCCACGCGCTCAGCGAACCAGCGCAGCACGGCCGGGAAGTCATAGCCTGGGACGGAGCAGAACAGAGTTCAAGCCCCAGGACTGGCCTGTCAAATACCACAGCGCCGCTGGGGGTGTGTGGCTGTGTGGGCGTGGCCGCTGGGGGCGTGGTTACACGTGGGGCGTGGCTTGTAAGCCCCAATAACTACCAAGCGTTTCAAGGAGCCCCTCCCCTGTATCCTGACCCCTCCCTCCCTAAACGCCCCTGTCACCAGGGCCCCTCTCCAGGACCCCCCCCCCAAGTCAGATTCCCTGGCAAAGGGTCACAGTTCACGTCTTTAATTTGATTAATTAGTTTGTTGTGATTGTCATTATTAATGTCAGTCCTGGGGCTTGAACTCAGTTCCTGAGCCTCTTTGTGCTCAAGGCTAGTGTTCTACTACTGGAGCCACAGCGCCACGTCTGGCTTTTTTTTTTTTTTTGGTCCGATCCTGGGGCCTGAACTCTGGGCCTGGGTGCTGTCCCTCAGCTCTTCAGCTCAAGGTTAGAGCTCTACCACTTGAGCCACAGCGCCACTTCCTGCTTTTTTCTTTTTTGCTTATGGTGAGGAATCGAACCCAGGGCCTCACACATACAAGGCAAGTGCGCTACCACTGAGCCACCTTCCCAGCCCACGTCTGGCTTTTTTTTTTCTGGGTAGTTTGTTGGAGTTAAGAGTCTCATGGGGAAATGGCACTATGGCTCAAGTGGTAGAGCCCCACAACTGACAAAAAAGAAAAGGAAAAATAAAAAGTTTCATGGACTTTCCTGCTGAGCTGGTTTTGAACCTCGAGCCTCAGATCTCAGTCTCCTGAGTAGCTGGGATTACAGGTGTGAGCCACTGGTGTCCAGTTTGTCCCTGAAGTTTTTTCCTTCAAGGCTGGTCCTCTACCACTTAAGCCACAGCTCCACTTCCAGATTTTTTTGGGTAGTTAATTGGAGATGAGTCTCAAGGACTTTCCTGCCTGGGCTGGCTTTGAACAACCATCCCCATATCTCAGCCTCCTGAGTAGCTGGGATTACAGGAGTGAGCCACCATGCTACTCTTCTCCTGTTCCCCTCCCCCTGTGACACTTTTTTTTTTTTTTTCAATCTGTTTCCTGAGTCCTTTCTGCTTCAAGCTCTGTCTTAAATCCTGGAGTCAACACAGACAGAGTGGAAGTGCTGGCTCTCTGCTCACTCATTTCTTCCTTCATTCCTGTCTCCACCCATGAGCTTCATTCACTTCTCCCTACTGGGCTAGGCATTCACTAACTCATTCACCAACTAGCAGAGCATGGGAAAGCAGAGAGGCCTCGCTCTACCATCTGACAGTTAAGAAGACCTGGGTTTGAATCCTGCTCTGTCCCCATTAGCTGTGTGACCTTTAGTTAAGTCAATTAGCCTCTCTGAATTTGTGTCCTCTTCTGGAGGTGAGGACAGGACCTGTCTCACAGGTGCCATTCAAGGGTGCAAGTGAGCGGATGCAGGTAAAGTGCTTGGCACTTAACTGGAAACTGAGGCTGCTTCAGGGCAAGATGGATTAAGACCTCAAGAAAACTGTGAAAAGGAGCTGGGCGCTGGTGGCTCACGCCTGTAATCCTAGCTACTCGGGAGGCTGAGATGTGATGATCACAGTTCAAAGCCAGCCTGGGCAGGAAAATCTGCAAGACTCTTATCTCCAATGAACCACTAGAAAACCAGAAGTGGCGCTGTGGCTCAAAGTGATAGACACCTATAAGGGAAAAAGCTCAGGAACATTGCCCAGGATCCAAGTTCAAGTCCCATGACTGACAAAAGAAAAAAAAAATCACACACAAAAAAAACAAAGAAAACTATGAAAAGAACAACTACCCCCCCCCCCCCATGCTTCTAGGACAGCAATCCTTGGGGAGTGTACATAGACATTTCCAGAGGGGTCAGCTTGGAATGGGAGGCTAGGTTCCCAGGAGACTGACCTACCCTGGGGAAGGGGCAGGGAGGGCTTCCTGGAAGCAGATGACAAGAGGGGACCCCCTGAAACTCCTCCCATCCCCAGCCACGTAGACTGACTTGTTGAATCTGCTGGGCACCAGCAAGCAGCCAGGAACTCTGCTACCTCATTTTCCAGATGAGGAAACAGGTGTGAGAGGATGAAGGCCTAATTCTGCCTGGGAGGAAGCAGGAGGGATGGGGGGACTTGGGGCATTGTTGGGGCAAGGTGGTGGTGAGGAAGGCAGATCACTGGAAGGACGGCAGCTGGGCCTCCCTGTACGTTCCCAGCTTGCACGCACACACACACACACACACACACACACACACACAGAGGCCTGGAAAAGAGTGTCTCCTGGGACAGGGAGGGAAGGAGGGCAGGGGGTTGAATCAGCCATGGAATGAAGACGTGGCAGGGACAGACTAGGAGACACTGGGCCAAGAAAAACAGTCCTGGTTAGCATGCTCACAGCACCTACTATATGCTGAACCACACTATGTGTGTTTCATGGTGTAACTAACAACCCTTCTAAAGAGCTAGGAGGCCCGCTCTACCCCACTCTCCAGCCCTGGAGCAAGCACCGAGAGGTGAGGTGGCTTACTCTAGTGTTACAAGCCCACAGTGGCAGAGCTCAGCTGAGATCCAGCCCAGCCTGGGTGACATGCCCTGTCTCAAAAAAGCCCCAAAATAATAATAAATAGGCAGACGTGGTGATTCCTATGTGTAATCCCAGCTACTTGGGAGGTAGAAGTAGGAGGACCAGGGTCAGGCCGGGCCAGGTCTGTGTGAGACCCAACCTTAAAAATTAAAGCAAAAAGGCCTGGGGGCGTGACTCAAGTGGCAGAGCACAGACCCTGAGTTCAAATCCCAGTAGCACCAATCATATATTCAAGCTGGGAGTGGGGACTTACATCTGTAAATCCTACATCAGGAGGTTCGAGGTGCCCACAAAAAAAGGACCCAGCAAAGCAGGGGCGGGACTGAAATGGGCGTGGCCACCCGGTGACGCACATCGTGGGTGGGCGTGGTCGAATGGGGGCGTGGCCCGAGTTCTAGCCCGCCTGCCTGGCAAGCCCAAAGCCCCCAGTTCAAACTCCAGAGCAGACACCTCGAAAATCGTTTCGTTGTGCTTTGCTTTTTCATGCACATATTCTGTTTTTTGAGTCAGGGCTTGGCCACATGGCCAGCCTGGCTTTGAACTCTCAGTTCACAAAGGTTCACTGCAGACACACAATCCCACACGCCAGACACGCGCACAGAGCTCTTCCTCTGCCGCCCTCCCTCCTGCTGCCCTCGGCGGGGGGGGGGGGGGGGGGGGGGGGGAGGGGGGAGAGGGGAGGGGGATGGCAGGGGGGGGGCAGGAGCACCACTACCCTGGACCCGCATCCCGCCAAACTCAGGCTCCCCTCTGCTCTACTGCCTGTTCCTTTGCTCCAGTTTGACTCCAGGGAGATGGGCGGGACCAGATGGCTTCGGGTGGGCGGGGCCAGAGACTAAAAATGCATTGGGCGGGGCCAGAGAGTTGAGGGCGGGGCTATATGGTGAGAGGCGGAGGCAAAGCTGATTAGGGAGGGGGCGGGGCCAGGGAGGGGCGGGGCCAGCCAAGGGCTGCAAGAGGCAAGGAGACACTGAGAAGGAGCCTGTGGGCGGAGCCTGAGGCTGGGGGCAGGGCATGGGGGGGAGGGAAGGCAAGGGGCTGAGGAGGAGGAGTTGGGTTGGCCAGGCCACAGGGTGGGAAGGGGCAGGTGGTGGAGAACCCAGGCCGGGAGGGGAAGGGTGTCAGCAGAGCTGGGTCGGGCAGGCCCCGCAGGGGTGGAGCCGGCTCCCTCTGGAATTCCCCCCCCCTCCCCCTGCACAGCTGTTTATAAATTCCAGGCCGGGCCTTGGCCCCCACCCAGATCCCCCCTCCTGCCCCTCGCAGCCCCATCTGTGGCCCAGGCCCGAGCCAGGAGCTGGCGAGGCCCAGGCCTCCCTGCGCTGGCTCTGCTCGCAGGCTGCTGAGAGCCAGGCCTGCCCCTGTCCCTGAGGTCTCCCTGTCTCTTCCTGGGCTCCCTTCCACCCTCGGCCCGCCCAGACATGCGGCCTGGGCCTGCACACACGTGTGCCGCCAAGCCTCCCTCCCCACCCCCAGGGAAACCCGGCCTCCCGGGCTCAACCTGCCTGGCCCAGGGGACAGGACCAGGGGAGGCCCCAGCCTCCTCCCTCAGACCCGGGAGTCCAGGCCCCAGCCTCCTCCCTCAGACCTAGGGGTCCAGGCCCCAGCCCCCTCCCTCAGACCCAGGGATCTAGGCCTCAGCCCTCTCCCTCAGACCCAGGAGTCCAAGCCCCAGCCTTCTCCCTCAAACCTGGTCTTTGCCTTCAGACTTGGCATCCATCCTCAAACCCAGGGGTCCAAGCCTCAGCCTCCTCCCTCAGACCCAAGGGTCCAGGCCTCAGCTTCCTCTCTCAGACCCAACCCAGGGGTCCAGGCCCCAGCCTCCTCCCTCAGACCTTGTCTTTGCCTTCAGACCTGGCATCCATCCTCAGACCCAGGGGTCCAGGCCCCAGCCTCCTCCCTCAGACCCAGGGGTCCAGGCCCCAGCCTCCTCCCTCAGACCCTGGGCTAGGCCTTCACTCACCGCGGCTCACTCTCTGTTTGGCGCCTGACAGAATGCCCGGGGTGTCGATGATACTTATGCTCTCCAGGACCTGGTTGGGGAGCTGGGCGCACATGAACCTGGGGAGCAGCAAGGTGAGGGGTGAGTGCAGGAAGGGGGGAGGGGAGCAGGAGAGAGAAAGTGCAGAGAACCCGAGGAGCTGGAGAGATGGACAGTCAGGAAGAGAAATGGATCCATTAAAAAAAAAACAAAACACAGTTCCAGGAGGGCATGGCGGTGCACGCCTGTAATCCCAGCAACTCAGAGGAGGTGGAGGCCAGACAGCCGGACTACTCAGCAAGGACGTGTCGCACTCAAACAAACAACCAACAACAAAAATCAGACTATGTGAAATGAAAGGAAGCCAGAGCCCGCGGCGGAAGCCATCCCTTGGACGTCCCAGAGGAGCAGGAGAGGCACAGAGACGGTCAGTCACTTCTCTGAGTGTGCCCAGCACACCAGCAGCCGAGTCAGGACGGGGCAACCTGGCTGACAGCAGAAGAGGAGGAAGAAGAACCAGGCAGACAGAGGGGGGAGCTGGCGCTGCACAGTAGAGAGGCAGAGTCGGGGTGCCAGGGTACCCCTCCTCATTGGCAGCCAACCACACCTGTTGAGGAAGGTGTTCCCAAAGGGGTTGAGCTTCCGGAAGGGCTTGTCCGGGTCTACCACCAGGGCGTTACCGGGCACAGTGCCCTCCGTCTCCCCGTGCATCACAGCCACGAAGCAATCCGTGGTGGGTTCGGGCCCCACTCGGGAGCCAGGTACCTCCTGCTCCAGCAGGTACTGGATGAAGCTGGTTTTGCCCGTGCTGTACTGGCCGGCCACCAGCACCATGGGCTTGCCGTCGAAGTCGGCATCCTCGAGGGCAGGCGAGTGGAAAGCCCCGAAGCGGTACTGCTCCTCCAGGGGCAACAGCTTGGTCCTGTACAACTCCTTGAGGGCGGAGGTCACTGTGCGGATTGCCTCGGGCTGCTGGCCGCGGGCCCCGCCCCGTTTCAGCCAGCTGAACATGACGGACCACTGGACGGCTGTCTGTGGGAGGAGAGGACATGAGTGGGGGGCAGAATGGGAGGGAGGGAGATGAAGTGGATGGGAAGGGACAAATCCATCTAGGGTATGGCTCAAGAAGGGGAATCTGGGGCTGGGAAGGTGGCTCAGTGGTAGAGCGCTTGCCTTGCATGCATGAGGCCCAGGGTTCGATTCCTCAGCACCACAAAGGCAAAAAGAAAAAAAGCTGGAAGTGGCACTGTGGCCTAAGTGGTAGAGCACTAGCCTTGAGCCGAAGAGCTGAGGGACAGTGCCCAGGCCCAGAGTTCAGGCCCCACGACCGGACCCGAAAATAAAAAAATAAAAAAAGAAGGGGAATCTGGAGGAGGGTAGGTGTGGGTGAGAGGGAACCTTCTGGAAGGAACGCAGACAGACAGACAGACACACACACACACCCATCTCCCCAGTCCATCTATTCCTGCCATGGATCAATTCTCACTGCAATCTATTCATTCCCTACTTCACAAGCTGCGGGCCCAGAAATGAACACAGAGACCAATGGCTCCCACCCCACCCCCCAGTGGGGGACCTGGGCACTAAACAGTTAACAATGCTTGCACAACATTAGGCAGTGGCTCAGGCCTGTAATCCTAGCTACTCAGGAGGCTGAGGTTTGAGGATCGCAATTCAAAGCCAGCCGGGGCAGGAAAGTCTGTGAGACTCTCATCTCCAATAAACCACTAGAAAACCGGAAGTGGTGCTGTGGCTCAATCGGTAGAGCGCTCCCCTTAAGCTGAAGAGCTGAGGGACAGCGCCGAGGCCCAGAGTTCAAGTCCCACATTCAACCAGAAGAAAAAAAAAAAGGTCGAAGCACGGCTGACTTTTGGGGTGCTTCAGTAAGGACAGAGATGTCAGCGTGGCAAAATGTGCTAAGGGCCAGGGGAGTGTGAGAGGCTGTGGGTGCTGAGATCATCAGACATTATCAAGACAGGCAAATGCAATGTTAATCATCACTGTAAAGCAGACAACAGTTCAGCTCGCCTGGCAAGGAACTGTTGGAAACACAGAAAAAGTCGCTCGCCCAAGATTGCTAAGCTGGACACCCATCCTCAGAACGAGTCAGGGAGAGGGCCCATCGCCACCCAGGAGCAGGGAGCATCACCACCAAAGTAGGATCTCTACAGCCCTACTACAGCTCTACTACAGCTCTATTACAGAACCATTACAACACTACTACAGCCCTACTGCAGCTCTACTACAGCCCTACTACAGCACCATTACAACACTACTACAGCTCTACTATAGCCCTGCTACAGCTCTACTACAGCACTACTACAGCTCTATCTCTATTACTGTCCTACTTCCCCCCAGACCTACTGTAGGTCTATCATCTGTCTTATCTGTCAGATTTTTTTTTTTTTTGGTCTGTCCTGGGGCCTGAACTCTGGGCCTGGGCGCTGTCCCTCAGCTTTTCAGTTCAAGGCTAGTGCTGTGCCACATGAGCCATAGCACCACTTCTGGCTTTTTCTGCTTATGTGGTGCTGAGGAATTGAACCCAAGGCCTCATACATGCAAGACAAGCACTCTACCATTGAGCCAGCTTCCCAGCACCTCTGTGTCAGATTTTTCTATCTATCTATCTATCTATCTATCTCTATATCCATTTGTCTCTCATCAACTATCTAAATTATCACCTGTCAGTCTGGTTTTTCTTTTCTTTTCTTTTCTTTTTTGGTTGGTCGTGGGGCTTGAACTCTGGGCCTGGGCACTGTCCCTAAGCTCCATTTTGCTCAAGACTAACGCTTTACCACGTAAGCCACAGTGCCACTTCCAGCTTTTTCTGGTGGTTTATTGGAGATAAGAGAATCACAGTCTTTCCTACCTGGGCTGGCTTTGAACCTGGATCCTTGGATCTTAGCTTCCTGAGTAGCTAGGACTACTGGTGTTGAGCACCAGTGCCCGGCTAGTCAGTCTCTGATCATCATCTGATCTATCTATCTGATTGTTGGTCTGGACATCATTCTTATTATCTTATCATCTATGTGTATCTGTCTAACACCTATCTACCTACCATCTATCTCTGCTGTTCAGCCTCTGTAGCTCCTTTTACTCATCATCTCTGTGTTTCTCTCCCTCCCTCCCTCATCTCCATGCTTATAATTTTAGTGATCCTCAAGAAAACACTGCAAACTGGCTTTGTTTTTTTTTTTTGGGGGGGGCGGGGGTCCGGTTGTGGGGCCTGAACGCTGTCCCTCAGCTCTTCAGCTCAAAGCTAGCACTCTACCACTTGAGCCACAGCGCCACTTCCGACTTTTTTCTTATGTGGTGCTGAGGAATCGAACCCAGGGCCTCGAGCATGCAAGGCAAGTGCTCTACCACTGAGCTACCTTCCCAGCTCCATGCAAACTGGCTTTTTATTTCTTTCCCGTGGACCTGTCTCGCACGCTGGCTCTTCGCAGGGATCTTTGCAAACTCTTTAGCAAGAGGCTGCTGAGAGCCAGGGACAGGGGAAGAGCAGGCCAGCACATGGGGATGGGGGAGAGGGGGGCACAAGGGGGTGGGAGAGGGGCGCACACAGGGCTGGGGAGAGGGGCGCACACAGGGGTGGGGAGAGGGGGGCACACAGGGGTGGGGAGAGGGGGCACACGGAGGTGGGGAGAGGGGGCACACGGGGGTGGGGAGAGGGGAGCACACAGGGCTGGGGAGAGGGGGGCACACAGGGGTGGGGAGAGGAGGGCATATGAGGGGTGGGGGAGAGGGGGCACACGGGGGTGGGGAGAGGGGGAAGCATCCAGCCCTGGGACTCCGCTAGCCAGAGGTAGCACAACTGAGGCAGAGTGGCTGGGAATGGGGGTTCGCGAAGGAGGCGCAGGCCAGGGGCGGGGTGCGGGGCAGCCCGAGGGGCCGGAGCACTGCAGGAGGCGGAGGTGGAGGTGGTGGCGGGGAGGGCACCTCGTCTGGGACAAACTGGGGGGGGGGGCTGGAGGGGCCGAGGAGCTTGGGGGGCGCTGGGTTTGGGGAGCACTGTCGTAGCTTGGGGAGCAGGGGTCCCGGGACGGGGCGCGGAGCACTCACGGGGTCGCGGCGCAGGCGGCGGCGGGGATCACGGTCGGGCGCGGCGCGGCCGGGCCTGGCGGGCGTCAGGAGCGCGGGGAGCGCAGTGCGGAGCGAGCGCGGGCAGCGGGCGCGGTCCGCTGGGAGGGCGGGCGGGGTGGGGCGGGACTGGGCGGGCGCGGCGCCCCCGACCCGGCCCGGGCCCCGGCCTCGCGCGCCCCCCGGCGGCCACACGGCTCCAGCGCAGCGAGCCGGGCCTCGCGCGCTCCTGGACGGCTACATGGGACCAGAGCATCCAACCCAGCCCGGGCCCCGGGCCCGGCCTCCCGCGTCCCCCCTCTGGTGGCCACTTAGGGAAGCGTAGGGTGAAGTCGGTTCTGCTCCCTCCTTGAGCACTGGGCCATCCACCAACCTCCCAATACTAAGAGTTAATAATTGATCCAGGGGTGGTAGCACATGTCTGAAATTATAGTACCCTGGAGGCTGAATGAGGCAGGAGGAACCCAAGTTCAAGACTAGTGGTAGAGCACTTAGCTGGCAAATGCCAGGCTTTGACAAAGTTCAGTTCTCAGCAATGCTGCCAAAAAGACGACGAAACAGAGGAGTTGTACCTGTTTCCCTGCTGGTAAACTTCCTTGAATCTCTGTTTTCCTCACTCCTCTGTAAAGCACCCCTTCCCCAACCCCTGACCATTTCTTTCCTGGCACTGGTTACCCAATCCATTCTGCACATATTTATTTGTTGGTCATGGGGCTTGAACTCTGGGCCTGGGCGCTGTCCCTCAGCTCTTCAGCTCAAGACCAGCCCGCTACCTCTTGAGCCATAGTGCCACTTCCGGTTTTCTGGTGGTTTATTGGAGATAAGAGTCTCATGGACTTTCCTGCCTGGGCCAGCTTTGAAGCACGATCCTCAGATCTCAGCCTTCTGACTAGCTAGGATTACAAGTGTAAGCCACCGGAGCCTGGCTGTTTTCATTTATTTATGAACTGGTACCAGGGCTTGAATTCAGGACATAGCGCAACTTTTTTTCTTTGTAGATCATGGAGCTTGAACTCAGGGCTGTACCTGAGCTTTTTCACTCAAGGCTAGCCCTCTACCACTTAGAGCCACAGCATCACTTCTGGTTTTCTGGTGGTTTATTGGAGAGAAGTCTCCTAGACTTTCCTGCCCAGGCTTCCGATCTCAGCCTCCTGAGTAGCTAGGATTACAGCTGTGAGCCACTGGCACCAGCCTTGTTCTGCTTTTTTACTCAAAGCTGTTGCTCTACCACTTGAGCCATGTATCCAGTCTAGCTTTTTTCTGGTTAACTAGAGATGGAGTGCCTTCCTGTCTCAAATCCCAATCATTCAGCTAGATCTCAGCCTCCTGAGAAGCTGGGCAAAGGGATTCCTTCTGTACTTTTCCTCAGTGGTTGGCTCAGTGCATAGTTTGAAACATGTGGATGTTGGGAGGCTATATCGTAATATAAAGTAAGCGTTTTTAACCACAGTACGTGTGAAGCAAGCTGGACGCCCATATTAAGATAAAAAGCAGCCAGCACCCTGATCCCGAGCAGCTAGGCCAGGAGCTACTTCCCGCGTTTTGCTATGCAAAGTGATTGATATGGGCAGACAGATGCCTGGCAAGCATGACGGAGTGCAAGGTCTGACCTGGCCCCTTGGGGCGCCTTCCCCATGCCCTGCAGACAGCCCCCCCCCATGGAGCAGGAGCTGCTTGCTCGGAGGGCCCTGCTCCCCACCCGGTAGGCAGGGACGGGAATGCCCTCCCCACGTCCCCGCCAAGAAACAACAGGGCCGGAGGGGCGGGAGTACAGTTTTAAAAAAAGGATCGGCTTTTAATTTACAAGAGTTCTAAATGTACAGAATTCTCCTCTTAAAAAAATCGTTATGCACAATAAATACAGTACAAAAAAGTTTATCTTACAGTACTAGTTTTCTCTCCGAGATTTCAAAACGTGGCGCGGGGCGGCTGGATGTGGGGAGAGAAGGGAAGCCCGGGCTGGGGGGTGGGGGTGGGACCCCACGTCTTGCTGCGGCTCGGGCTGCGCGGGACGGGACCGCGTGCGCGCATGCGCGCGTGCACGCGCACAGAGCGACACGGACACGGGTGGACGCGCGCACGCGTGGGGACACGCTGTGTTTTGTCTCGCGGCCGGGGGGTGGAGCAGGAGAGGCCTGGCGGGTCTGAGGCCCTGCCCAGCTCCGGGTCACGCGCGCGTGCCCAGGGCCCCCCAGCCGCGAACACGGGAGGCGTGGGGTGGGGGGAAGGGGAGAGGCCTTTGTGACTCAAATAACTTAGGCGAGGAGGGGTCGGGGTGTCCGGGCTGCGCCTCCCCCCGGAAGGCTGGGGAGGAGCCGGTGTTATCTGTTCAACGTCCTGGCGCCCAGGCCTCCGTTGTGGCTGGAGGGCGGGAAGGGCGCGGGGGAGGCGGGCGCGGGGCCCGCGTGCGGCGCGGGGAAGGCGGCGGCGGTGGCGGCGCGGCCCGGCGCCTGCTGGAGGTTGAGGATGCTGTCGATGGCGCTCTGCAGGTGCTCGGTGAGCGCGTCGTCCTGCGGGCTGTCGCTGGAGAAGCTGGCCTGGTCCACGTCCGGGGACTCGGACTTGCGGCGCTTGCTGGGGGGCAGCGGGGGCGGCTCCCAGGCGGGCTCGGGCTGCGCGTGCGCGGGCGCCGGCCCCGCCCCCGGCCCCGCCCCCGGCTCGCCGCCCTTCAGCACGCGCTGGTACAGCTCGTCCTCCACGGCGGCCAGCTCGCGGATCAGGCCGCTGGTGGCCTCGTCCACCTTGGCGGGCGCGGGGGGGCGCGGGGCCGCCCACGTTCTCCCGGTAGGTCTTGCGCAGCGGCAGGCGCGGGCAGGGCGCGGGCGGCCCCGCGGGCTTGCGGGGCGCGGGCGGCGGGTGGTCGGCGGTGCCGTTGACCTGCAAGGCGGGCGGGGGCTCGGGCGCGCGGCCCGGGCCCGGCGGGGGTGGGGGCGGGGGCGGGGGCGGCGGCTGGTGCACTGGGTCCAGCGCGGTGTTGTGCACCACCTTGCTGAGCCCGGCCTCCTGCTTGATCTTCAGCTTGAGGCCGATGCGGCTGCGGGCCTCGTAGGTCTTGATGGGCGGCCGGTTGCGGGAGGGCATGGGGCCGTCCTCGTCGGCGTCCAGCGAGCCCGAGGCCCGCGCCCAGGTCACCGATGGGGAGCCGCCCGCGCCCCCGTGCCGGATCACCAGCTTGGTGGGCGGGTGCGCAGGGGGCTGCGCCGGGGCGGGGGCCGAGGCGGCGGGCGGGGGCCGGTGGCCCTCGGAGGACAAGGACGAAGTCGGGGCTGAGATGGCGAGGCCCGGGGGCCGCGAGGAAGACACGTACTCGTCTGCGAGGCCGGGGAGGAAAATCCACACGCTCAGGAGGGCTGGCTGAGGGGACCCCCCACCCCACCCTCGCGGCCTGCCAGGTGCACGCTGGACCTGGCTTCGGCAAGAACCTGGGCACACAGGGCTCCCCCTAACCCCCAAGAGCGCCCCGAGCCACGACCCGGTGAGGGGTCCCAGAGAACTGGAAGAGCATGGGCCTGGCAGGGTGCGCCTGTAATCCCAGCTGCTTGAGAGAGCATCTGACAGCCCAGCTCACCCAGCCAGTGCCCAGAGGGCTGGGATTTGAACCAGGGTAGTTGAGGTATAGCCTGGCGATGCTCTTCTAACCTCCCCTCCCCCACCTGCCTCCTGCAGACCAGGGTGGGCACTCGAGACACTGGGAGGAAACACTTGAGGGCTCTTTTTCAGGGTGGCAACACCCGACAAGTATGGAGAATGGTGCCATGGAGGCATAACACCTTGCCTGCCCACCCAGGCCTGCTCTCATTTCTTGGACAGGGCTCTGGCACCACCTGGTGGCCAAGGGAGGCAGAGCCAGGCGCCCCCAACTCTGTGGGGGGAGGGGTCACACCCTCTCCCTTCACAGAGGGATTTGGGGTGCAGCGCCCACTCAGCTTTCACAGGGGCATGTTTTGGGTTGCATCACCCTCTTGCTTCTCACAGAGGGCATCTGGGGTGCCTCGCCCGCCTTGCCTCTCACCTGGCTTCTCCTTGGCCAGCTGCTTGTCCAAGGCTAGGGTGGTCTTCTCCTCCTGAATGAACATGCGGTCGATCATAACCATCTCTGCTGAGGGGCTCACCCTCTGGGGTGGGGGGGAGGAAGAGAAAAGAGTGAGGATGGGGAAGGGAGCGAGGCGTCCAGCCTGGAGGTCCAGGTGGGCTCTTGCTGTCTGTCCTGAGTCCAGGCCTGTGGTCTCCCCTCCATCCTCCCTCCCAGGTGAGGGGGAGATGGGGACCCTACCCGGGACTCCTCCAGGAGTAGGAGCCGGTATTTATTCAGCATGGCCTGGGTGCGTTTCAGCAGCTGCGTGGACACTGTCTCGAATTCCTCGTCCACTACCAGGAGGAAGAGCCAGCAAGGCCCGAGGTCAGATGTGTGCGTATGGAGGGCCCACGAATGCGCACGCGCAGCACAAGCCACAAGTACGCATGTGCAGCCAGGTGTGCCCAGGCTTTACCGCCCCCCCCCCCCACACACCCAGTGCCAGTCCCAAAGCTGGGGGCGGGGAGGGCACAGGGACACTGGTGGGGAGCCTCACCTCTGTGGTAGTCACTGGGGGAGGGCAGGGTACCCTGGTAGACGTGGTAGGGCAGGAGGCGATGCAGGGCGTCCTCGAAGGACGGGAAGGCCGTCTTGTAGTCGGGATGCAGGACGGATCCTTGATGTTTGTGCAAATGCTCCAGGAAACTGGGGGCAGGGCAAGGGGTAGAGATCACAGAGTGGGGTGAGGACCCCATCCCAGGCCCCAGCCTCCAGCCCCAAGCTGGACACTGCAAGGGGAAAGGAGCATGTGCCAACAGGACAAAGTCGGCAGCTGCCACCTGCACCCCTGGGTTATCAAAGAGGAAACTGAGACCCAGAGAGGTGCTCCTGCCCAGAGCAACCCAAAGCAGGAAAAGAAATAGGAGGCTGGACTCCATGCAATTCTGTCTCCCACCAGGTGGGGGAAGAACATCCCCCCCAACTTTGCATCTAAGATTTTTCTCTCCTCTCCCTGCTATTTCATACTCCAGCGGGGAGGGGGGAGGGGTCCTCCATACCCCAGACCTCCCCACCCCTTCTCTGCCACTATCTCACTCACTCACCAGGCCTCCTTGCTGGGCTGCAGCGGGGGCGGCTTCTTCAGGCTGCTCATCTTGCTCTCATACTGGGAGGAAGGAGAGAGACCAGTGACTGCTGGGGGGGGGGGGGGGGGGTCCTCCGCTCCAGCCCGGCCCCAGCTGTGGATTGGGTTCCCTTGGAATAACTAAGGTGAGCTAATTACATGTGCACACAGAGAAAGCCAGAGCCCTGCGGGGGGGGGGGGGGGGGGGACGGGGACATACAGCAGCAAGGGTCACACACAACCCTGTAATCCCAGAAGGGAAGGCACAGGAGAGGATGGTGGTTCAAGGCCAGCTTGGGCAAAAAAAATTCAAGATCCTATCAGAAAAGTAAGCAAAAAAAGAACTGGGCGTATGGCTCAAATTATAAAGGACCTGTGTAAATGGGGGGGGCGCTTCTGGGGCTTGAACTCATGTCCAGGTCCTGTCCTTTCGCTTTTCTGTGCAAGGCTGACACTCTACCACTTCAGCCACAGTCCCACTTCCAGCTTTTTGCTGGTTAAATTAGAGGTAAGAGTCTTAGGGACTTTTTTTTCTGTCTGGGCTAGCTTCGAACCACAATCCTCAGGTCTGTCTCTTGAGTAGCTATGATGACAGGTGTGAGCCGCTGGTGCCCAGCCACCCTGTGGTCTTGACCCTGTCTATGCCCCCCAGTGTCACCTGCTCCTGTCCTGGGGCATCTCACATTGTCACCAGACATCTCGGTACCAGCCAGCTGCCTGGGTGGTCCTGCCTGCCCCTTGCTGTCCCTGTCTGGCTCTCGTGTGTCTTGGCTGCCTCTGCCTGGCACTGGGTACCGTTAACTCCATCCTTCCAGCCCGTTTCCCTTTTGAGTTCATTACTGGTACGCCCTCCTCCCTAGCCCGAGCCCCCCATACCTGCAGCACGGAGGTCTTCCCTGGCCCGGAAGCAGTGGCCTTGGCCACACCCAGGCCTGGGAGGTTGCTGGCAAAAGCTTTGCTCTCGGCAGGAAGCAGAGGAGGGAGGCCTGGGATGGGCAAGGGAGAGAGCGGCCAGGGTCATTGGTGTGAAGGTCCCTCCTCACCCCATCAAGCCCACCTCCCCCTTTTCCCCAGTCCCTTCACCTCCCCTACCTGCGGCCATGGGTGCCGGGGTTGAGGTGTGGCTGGCGGTGGCGGGTAGCAGGGGTCCCAGGTGGGGCTTGCCCACTGACCAGCACGGAGGCAGGGGTGCTGGTCAGGGGCCCTAGGCTGGTGGAGGTCTGCGGGGTGGTAGGGGCTCCCCCAGTCTTGTTCTGGAGAATGATCCCAGATGGTACCTGAGGAAAGACAGGTGGGCAAGAGGTGTGGGGCTTGGGCTGGCAGGCAGTGGGCATGGTCAGGGGTCCTGGGCAGAGAAAGAACTGTGTACACATGGGGGCAGGGCCCCGGTCCTCCCTGCCCCTGTTACCTGGTGGAATCTCTCCAGGAGAGCCTTGGATTGGGGCAGCGCTGGGAAGGGGGCGGTCACCATTTGGAAGGTCCGAGGAGGCGGTGGGGGCAGCGCTGTGGGCTCGGAGACCAGGTGAAGAGTCGGAGGGGGTGTGGGGGACTTGTGGGGGCCCTGACCAGGGGGGAACTGGAGCTGGAAGTCGGGGTAGCGTCGGGGCTGGCAACCTGGTGGGTGGCTCAGAGGAGGCGGCCGCGGTGGAGGTGGTGGAGGCTGGGGCAAGGTGGGGGGCTGGGGGCCCCTCGGGAGGCTGGGACGGGGGACGCAGAGGAGGCTGCGGGGGGCCAGGCGCAGGGGGGACTGGGGTGCTGGTGGGCAGGGGGGCACTCAGCTGGTTCTGGATCACAAAGATGCCAGGCAGGGTGGGGGGCGCCTGGGGTGGGGGGCAGGGGTGCAGGGCTGGCTCGGAGGGGGGGCGGGACGAGCTCTGGGGCTGGGAGGGGGGGCGGGAGTGGGGCCGGGAGGGGGGCCGGGAGGGGGGCCGGGCAGGGTGCGGGGAGGGTAGGTGGGGGCTGTCTCCCAGGGGGGCCTGGTGAGGTAGTGAGGGGGAGGAGGCGGGGCCCGGGCCCTTCGGCGGAGCTGCAGCTGGGATCTGGGCAGGGGGAGAGGAAGAGCAGGTCAGCCCAGCCTCCTCTCCCACTGCCCCAACAGTCGGGGTTCCCCTGGCACCCTGCCCGGAGCCCCCCTCTCTGCAGGCCTCTGTTCTGAGGATGGGCCCTGCTGAAGCCCCTTCCCTCTTCCCCGCTTTGCCCCGCACCCCATCCTGCCCTCCATCCCACATGAGTCTGTCCACCGGTCTCCCCACTTCCGCCCCACTGCACCCCTCCCCGCAGTAGAAGGCGAGCTAGCAGGATTTGGGGGGCCGGGGGCAGCGGCAAAGCAGCAGCGGGGGCAGCGTGGCAGCAGGAAGGGGCAGTGGGCCTTGCCCAGCAGCCAAGCCAAGGCCGTGAGTGCCAGGCTAAAAGCGGGGTGCTACACCGCGTGGGGCAGAGGAGGGGTCCTGACCTCCAGTCCTGGGCTGTTGTGTGTCCAGGGGTCTCTCTGAAATGGGGGAAGGGGCACCGGCCTAGTTGTGTGCCTCTTTATCAGACTCAGGTGGCCCTGAGTCTGCAGGTATGTGGGGGACCCTTGCTGCACTGTGCAATAATTGCAAGGGGCTCCCCCCCAAAACAGGCTCCTCAGAATCAGGAATACGGTGGCCAACGTGAAACCAGTGATTCCAAGCATGTACCTTAATGCTAGACTGCCAACCTCGACTGATGGAGGCCAGAGGCGGCTGACGGGTCCCCAGAAACCCATCATCGCACCAGTGACCAACTATTGGGGAGCACAACAGCCTCACACAGATCGCGCCAGGAGGGGGGTGGCAGGAAGGGGAGATGAGTGCTCCCAAGTTCATCACCTCCTGCCTAGCATGTGCCTACCATGCTCATCACTTCCTAGCCTACACAGCAGGCTGCTTCCAGGAGGGTTTTCCTCCTCCTTCCACATGGCTTGGTGAGCTCTCAGCACTTCCCTAGGCTGCCCACAGCAGCCAGACCTGCCATCCCAGGGACTCAGTGTCCTCCCCCCCATGTCCACAGCCCACCTGCTACATCCCCATACTTGGACCACCTGGTCTCCAGTCTCGGCTTTTCCTTCATGCCTCTGGGCCGTTTCCAGAACCCCTATCACAGTTAGCCAACAGAAGGAAACTACCCCAATTCAGCAATGAACCCAGGGACCCCAAAGGACGTAGAGATCTGGGTGGTAGCTTCACTGCTGGGGCCATGGGGCTGTCCCCTGCCCGGGTCCCAGGACTCCCAGGAGGGCCACGCCCTTGGGCCTCCAGCACCTGCCCCAGAACCTACAATGCAGAGCCTACGAAGGAGAGGTCATGGGGTCCCTGCAGAGGCTGGGTAACACCCTGACCACATCTTACACCCCACAACCTTGCCACAAAGACCAAGCTAGCCTCCCAGGGGTAAACATGTGGTCAGTATGCACGAGATGCTGAGTTCAATCCACAGCAGTAAAACAATCAGGTAAGAACGGGGGGGGGGGGGGGGGGGGGGGGGAAATGGAGCAGGTGGTTTAAGTGGTAGAGTGCTAGTCTTGAGAAAAAAAAAAAAGTTTAAGGACAGCGCCCCGGCTCTGAGTTCAAGCCTCAGGACCAGCACACACACACACACACACAAAACCAAAAACAACTAAAAATCTACAGAGGAGGAGGAAGAAAAAGGACAAAGTAGCAAAAAGCTGGTATTTTTTTTTTTGTTAGTACCAGTGGTTGAACTCAGGACCTTTTACTTACTGGGCCCACTGGCTGGCCTACAGCTCGGGTTCCACTATTTGAGCTATGCCTCCAGCCTAGCTTTCTGGCTGGTTAATGAGTCTTACAGGCTTTTCTGCCCAGGCTGGCCTTGAAATGCAACCCTCTTGGAATGAGCCACAGTGCCCAGCCTAACATAGTGGTTCTTAAGCTGGGTGATTGGTCCCCTAGGGGGACACATGTACCTGTACACATGGCAGCGGCCTCAATCCTTTCCCCCAGGTGGGTAAACTGAGTCTGATTGTTTGGCTTTCACAACTGCCCCAGTCAAAGCTCCAGGCTTTGAACCCAGACTACCATTCTCAGCTAGGCAGCCCTGGGGCTATTTAGTCTCTCTCTGTGCTGGTACTACATGTGAAAATGGGCCAGGTGGTGAAGTTTAAATGGAGACTCCAGGGCTGGGAAGGTGGCTCAGTGATAGAATGCTTCCCTTGCATGCATGAGGCCCTGGGTTCGATTCCTCAGCACCACATGAACAGAAAAAGCCAGAAGTGGAAATGTGGCTCAAGTGGTACAGGGCTAACCTTGAGCTGAAGAGCTGAGGGACAGCGTCCAGGCCCAGAGTTCAGGCCCACAACCGACAAAAAAATAAAATAAAATGAAATAAAAAAAAAATGGAGACTCCCTGTAGAGACACAGGAAAGTGCTCCTGCTTGGGGGACAGGGTCACACTGCTGTTCCTCGCTCCTCCAGGACTGTCCCAGTTGTTCCCTGAACACATTTGCTTAAAGTTACAAAGCACATTGGCGATACTTGCCTGACCTCATTCACGTAGAAGAAATATAGATTAAAACAAGAACTCTTTGCTGGGTGTCAATGGCTTGTGCCTGCCATCCTAGCTAGGTACTCAGAAGCCTGACTGAGATTAGGGCTGGAAACCAATCTGAGTCCACGAGACCCTTACATCCAATTAACCACCAAAAAGCCAGAAGCGAAGCTGTGGATCACGCCCCAGTACTGGCACACAATAAATCAATTAATGTGAAAAAACAGATTCTGGAATTGAGTTTAAACAACAAATGCAGGGTTAAACCTTGTACAGACTTGTCCACAGTTCATGAGGTGTCTAAGCACACTAAGGCAATTCAAGATGGCGCCAGGGAGCTCAGGGCTGGGGAGCATGGAGCTTTTGGCTGAGTGCCTCCTAGTGCCTTTTTGCAAGGTAAACCATGTGAACTTGGCCATGAAAAGCACCCCATTTCTTGCCCTGATATATTCTGTAACCTAGCCTACAGCCTGGGTTACCTGAGGCGATCACATGCCTGGAAGACACTAGGGAAGTGTGGGGCAGGGGAGAGAGGCGAGCGGGCGCATTCCCCAAGTCAGCAAGACAGAGGCAGGCAGGGCAGCGAGGGGGCGGTGCGCAAGGGAGAAGGGAGGGCGGAGGCTGGGTCTCAGCTGAGGACAGAGGCTGCCCAGTGTCTACCTGGGGGGCTGGAGCCGGGGAAGCCTGGCTGTCGGGGGCCTGAGGGCCAGGGCCAGCTCCTTTGGCGATGGGGGTGGCCAGGGCTGGGTCTTGGGCGGGAGGCGGGGCGCTGACTATGACCGAGGCAGGCACGGAGAGGTGGGGACCCTCTGTGGAGAGGGGCTGCTGGTTCCTCTCCTGCAATGGTTGCCGCACAGGGTCAGAAGGTCCCCAGGGGCTCCAGCCTCCCACTCAAGACTGTCACCCCAGAAGCTCCAGAGAAGGGTTGCTGGGCAGCCAGGGTCGCTGTGGTGGTACCAATCTGGGGGCCACAGTCTTTTCTATCAGCCAGTCTTCCACTTCCACCCACCTTTCCTCTCTCTACCATATCTATCTATCCATCATCCATTCACCCTGTATCCATCCTTCGTTCGTCAGCCATCCATCCATCCTCAACCCATCAATGTACTGAATCTATCCTTCATTCATAATCCATCCTTTCACTATCCATTCATCCTGTACCTATCTATCCTCTACCCACCAATCTATACTGAATCCATCCATCCTCTATCCATTAATCTATACTGAATCCATCCATCCTCTATCCATTAATCTATACTGAATCCATCCATCCTCTATCCATTAATCTATACTGAATCCTTCCTTTCATTTTTTTTTCTTTTGGTTGGTCATGGGGCCTGAACTCTGGGCCTGGGCGCTGTCCCTCAGCTCTTCAGCTCAAGGCAAGAGCTCTACTGCTTGAGCCACAGAGCCACTTCTGGTTTTCTAGTGGTTTATTGGAGATAAGAGTCTTACAGACTTTCCTGCCCCAGCAGGCTTTGAACCGCGATCCTCAGACCTCAGCCTCCTGAGTAGCTAGGATGACAGGTGTGAGCCACCGGCGCCCAGCTATCATCCAACCTTCATCATCCATTCACCCTGCATCCATCCATCCTCTCTTCATACATCCATCATTCCCCACCCATCCAAATCTTCCCCATGCCCTCTGAAACCCGTGTCCCATCTTTCAGCCAGTATTGTCCCGTGCCCATTGGTCAGTCAGCCTGTCAGTCTGTCCACTGCTACCCCAGACTGGTCCCTCACCTCATAGGCCTCCCCTGGAGCCTGGCTTACCCTGCCTTGCTCCCATCGACCCCATGAACACCCCCCACCCCCAAGTAACTGCCCCCAACCAGCCTCCCTCTCCCACCCCAGCGCAAGTACCTGGGGCAGAAACATCTGCAGGGAGTCCTGAGTGACGATGGCCGAGGTGGCCGCAGAGGGCGGCTGCCCCAGGACGATCTTCTCGGGGCTGGATGCCAGGCCCGGGCTGGGCTGCGGGGTGGTGGCCTGAGGGGGTCCGGAGGCCTGCGGGGTGGAGGCTACCTGCGCGGGTTGCTGTGCGGGCGATGGCTGGAGGCCAGGGGGTAGCGGGGTGCTGACGGCAGGAGGCCCAGCGGAGGTGGCCTGCACGGAGGCAGCGAGGACCGAGCTGGCCTCCCCGGCAGCAGCGGCAGGGGTGGGGGGTGGCGGGCTGCACCAGGCCATCGGGGGCGTTGAGCATGGCCACGGCGGCGCTGGGGGGCAGCGCGACGCCCTGGAGGACGGTGGCGGCAGGAGTCCCAGCAGGGGCCGGCTGGCTCTGGGTGGGCAGACTGCCTGCGGCCAGCGACACAGGCATCTGGAAGAGGGCGGGCTGGCCCACCTGGATGGGGGCGGCCGAGAGGATGTGTGCGGCGCTGGGTGGCCCCGAATGCGGGGCCAGCACGGGGCCCAGGCTAAGCGGGGCCGCCAGGTTCTGGTTGGCCAGGATAGGGTTGGCTAGGAGCGGGGCACCCGCGTGGGGGGCAGCGGCGAGGATCTGCCCGCCCAGGGGCCCCCCGGGCAGCAGGAACTGGTTCTGACCAGGCAGCACGTGCTGGGCCGGGATGACGATGCCGCCCTGGTTCAGCAGGTGCAGGCTCATGGGCTTGCTCAGGGCGCTGGGGGGCGGTGGGGGGGCCCCAGCGGCCGGGGCAGCGGTGGTACCCGGGGCACTGCTGGCAGGGGGCGGCTTGAAGACATTGGCAGGCAGGGCAGGTGCCGAGAAGCCAGACAGCACCACATTCTGGCCGGCCTTGCCCGCCGCCATGAAAGTCAGGTTCTGGGGGGCCTTGGGTGGCGGTGGCAGTGGCCCCGCCTCGCCCTGGATGGTGAGCGTGGCACTCGCAGGGGCGAAGGGCTTCGGGGTCAGCTGGTAGAGCTTGGGGGGCAGCACCCCGGCCGGCTTGGGCTGGATGGGGGTAGGCGTGCGGTGCAGGATCACGTTGGGTGCAGGCACCAGGGGTGAGGCGCCCAGGCCTGGGGCCACGGCCAGCGGCTGTCCGGAGGGCGCCCCTCCAGCCCCTGTGGTGGCTGCCCCGGCCCCAGCGAAAACCGAGTTCCCATTGAGCGTAGTGGCCACAGCAGCCGGGAGGCTCTTCTGGATGACCAGGCCGGTGCCCTGCGGCGACATGCCGGCTGATGCCAGGGTCACAGGCTCTGAGGGCCCTGCAGCCGAGGCCAGGTAGCCGCTGACAGGCACCTGCTTGGCCAGGAGCTGTGAGGCTGGTGTGTTGAGGGCCATGACCGGCTGGCCGACCACCTGGATGGGCGCTAGGCCCAATGTGGCTGCAGTGGCGCCACCCGGGCTGCCATTGGGCAGGCCCTGGAGGCCTGGGATGGGCTGCAGGGTCACATTTCCCAGGCCCACAGGCTGCAGGAAGGGCTGGACGCTCAGGGCCTTGTTGACCACGTCCTGGGGCGGCACCAGGGCCTGGTGCGCCAGCACGGTGGGCGGCGCCTGCAGCCCCAGCAGGTCAGCGCTGCCTGGAAAGAGGGCTTGGGGCCCTGTGGCCACGGTGGCTGTCCCTGCGGTTCCAGTGGGCCCTGCCCCACCATCAGCGGGCTGCAGCGTGGGCAGCTGGAAGGGGCCCAGGTCCAGCTCGGCCTCGGCCTCCAGCGTCTGCTCCGTGATGTTGGCCTCCTGCAGGCTCTGCTGAAGGATGTCGCAGGGCTGGTCAGTGGCCCCGCCACCCCCGCCTCCGCCGCCCGGGGCGGGGGATCCCAGGATGTCATCTTCTAGGAAGTCCAGGTCCACGCTGGGGGCTGGCTGCGTGGGCTCCGGGTTCAGGGGGTTGCCCGGAGCTTCCTGCACGTGGAGCTGGAAGCAGAAGGAGGCAAGATGTGAGGTTGAGCAAAAGGAATGGCCTCTCCCCCCCCGTCCTCCCCCCCAGGTCGCCATACTCAAGGGAAAATAGAATGGTCCATTGGTCTCTACCTGGAGCCTTTTATTTAAAAAAAAAAAAAATCTTAGCTGGGCACTGGTGGCTCACACCCATAATCCTAACTACTCAGGAGGCTGAGATCTGAGGATCGCAGTTCAAAGCCAGCCTGGGCAGGAAAGTCCAGGAGACTCTTATCTCCAATAAACCACTAGAAAACTGGAAGTGGTGCTGTGGCTTAAGTGGCAGAGCACTCCACCCTGAGCTGAAGAGCTGAGGGACAGCGCCCAAGCCCAGAGTTCAAGCCCCATGACCGACCAAAACAACAACAACAAAAAAAGCCACTTTTGTCAGTTGTGGGGCTTGAACTCAGGGTCTGGGCACTGTCCCTGAGCTGTTTCATTCAAGGCCAGTGCTCAAGCTCTTTGAGCTACAGTGCCACTTCCGGTTTTCTGGTGGTTAATGAGAGATAAGAATCTCATAGATTTTTCCTACCTGGGCTGGCTTTGAACCTAAGAGCTGAGCCTCCTGAATAGCTAGGATTACAGGTGTGAGCCACCAGCAGCCGGCCACCTAGAGCCTCTTAATCTAGCCTGTTTCTCCACCTGCATTCAGGACCCATGAGCAGAAAGGAGTTTTTTGTTTTTTCTCTTGAGTCAAGGTCTTCCTATATAGCTCAGTTTAGCCTCAAACTTCAGATCCTCCTGCCGGTGTGCTGGGACTACAGGTGTGCTCCACCATGCCTGTTACTTAGCTAATCATAGAAGACCACAATACTTGTGATTCTTAAACCTCAAAATGTTCTTAAAACAAAAAACAACAATGAGTTTCACAACTTTTACAGCAGCCAAGCTTCCCCAGTGCTTTTGGTAAGACATGGCTCTGTCTGGTTGAACTTCCCTACATCTGGCCACTGAAAAGTGAATGTGTTTGGTGCTGTGGCTCACACCTGAAGTCACAGCACTCAGGAGGCAGAGGTAGGAGAATGAGTCTGAGGCCAGCCCAGCTCGGTGTTACACTGAGACCTTATCTGAAAAACTATCAGCAGAAAGAATCAGAGCTGTGTAGGGCTCTGGTGATAGGCAGGCAGGTGAGGCCCTGAATTCAGTCTCCAGTACTGCAAAACATAATAAAGGTGAGTGAATGACGCTATGCACAGTGGCTGAGCCACAGCCTTTCCAGAATCAGAAAAACTTTGAAGCATTGTGTGAGAGGAAGGTGGGGCTGGCAGGACCCTAACCCTGTGCAATTGCCAAATACGGAACCGGCCAGGCTCCTAGAACAGTTGTGAAAAACGTATGCAAACTGTTACCTTACAGGTTGGAGAAAACAATTGCTATGATAATAATAATGGTCACGGGCTGGGAAGGTGGCTCAGTGTTAGAGTGCTTGTCTAGCATATAGAAAGCCCCGGATTCGATCCCTCAGTACTACATAAGCAGAAAAAGCTCAAGGACAGTGCCTAGGTTCAAGTCCCAGGAACTGACAACTCTCCCCCTCACCACCTTGCAAAAAAAAAAGAATGGTTATGAGGTTGGGTGTGGTGGGGCACACAGTACCAGGGAAGACCAAGGTGGGGTTCAAAAACCAGAATAATAGTCACAAGATACATAGAAATGCCGAGTCAACATTGTTACTGGGGCCTATAAATGCACTAAATGATTTATTACTTAACCCTGTGACCGCCCAGGGCCAGCGTCCACCCCAGTTAACTCAGGCCACTGGCTCCATCTCTGCGGTTTTGTTTTTGTTTTGGTCATTTGTGGGGCCTGAACTCTGAGCCTGGGTGCTGTCCCTCAGCTCTTCAGCTCAAGGCTAGCGCTCTACCACTTGAGTCATGGCACCACTTCTGGCCTTTTCTGCTTATGTGGTGCTGAGGAATCAAACCCAGGGCCTCATGCATGCAAGGCAGTGCACTCTACCACTGAGCCACCTTCCCAGCCCTCTGCTTTCTTCGCAGAATAGGCGGTTCTGGCACTGCAGCCCTCTCAGCCCCACCCCTGCCTGTGGGAGCTTTTGAACTAAGCACCTGGCCCTGGAAGCCCCCAGGCAAAACCTCCACCCCTGAAGGCCTTCAGGCCACACCCCCATGCCGGTCCCCCACGTTTCCTTCCCTCTTTGTCCCTTGCTCTGCCTAGCAGAACAAGAGGGGGCTGGGGCCACTTACCCCAGAACCTTCGTAGAAGGCACTTTGGGCCTCCACAGGGGCATCCAGGAGGTCATCGCTGTCCAGCTGCAAGAAGACCCGCCCCCACCCAAGGTCAAAGGTCAGCAGGGCAGACTCAGGCTCTAGAGCAGAAACCAATTTAGGGTTACTCTACATAAAACAACAAGTTGCTGGGGTGGGGGCTGGCGCAAGGCATGAACCTGAGCTTCAGAAGAGAGGCTCCAGAGAAAGAGGTCTGTAGCGGAACCCCTCCGCCCAGCCTGCTGTAGAATGCCCCCCAGATATGCCTGCCTTGAGTGCACAGCTCCTGTGGGCACCCAAGCAGCCCCCCACAGCATCTGCCTCATCCTTGGGAGTCATCCCAAATGCCACCTGCCCCCAGGGACTGTCGCTGTCTTCACCAAGCCCCTCCCTCTGCAACTCAGTCCAAGCATCCAACAGGACTCCCAGTGCACAGCCCAGAGGGCAAGGACCTGCCCAGACTCCAGGGTACCTGAGGTGGGCCCTGACCCCCACACATCCACCACCCCGCCCCACTGGACTTCTGGAATGTTCCCTAGATTCCTCATCATTGGGGTTCTTCAACCCCTAGATAGTGGCTCCCCTACCAACTCTACCCGATTCTATGTCCACCAACAGGTGCCCAGATCCAAGGAAGCGCTCACAGCCCATGCCCCTGCTGCCCTGCAAGACTGAGCTCACCAGGCACTGTGGCACATGCCTATAATCCCAGCACTTAGGAGGACTGAAGGTTTGAAGCCAGCCTGGGTCATGTCTCAAAACAGACACTAGTACATAAATAATAAATCCAAAAACACAACTAAAACAATAAAAAATAGATTTGGAGCGAGCGCCCCTGCCTCCCTCAAGGCATGAGTGCACTCCGGGATTCTCTTCAATGAGCACAAATGCAATAAAAATGACTGTGGAGGTCTCTGGAGGCTGGGTCATAAAAGCTATGAGACAGGTGCTAGTGGTTGGTATCTGTAATCCTAGCTACTCAGGAAGCTGAGATCTGAGGATCTTGGTTTAAAGCCAGGAGGAGTGGAAAGTCCAGGACAGTCTTATCTCTAGCCAGCAAGAAGCCCGAAGTGGGGTTGTGGCTTAAACAGCAGAGCACTATTCTTGAGTGGAAAATTCTCAGAGACAGTGCCTAGATCACTGAATTCCTGGGACTGGCACAAAAATAAGTAAATATGAGCTGGGAAGGTGGCTTAGTAGTAGAGGGCTTGTGTAGCATACATGAAGCCCTGGGTTCGACACCTCAGTAGCACATAAATAGAAAAAGCCAGAACTAGTGCTGTGGCTAAAGTGGTAGAGTGCTAGCCTTGAGCAAAAGAAGCTCAGGGATAGTGCCTAGGCCCTGAGTTTAAGCCCCAGGACTGGCAGAGAGAGAGAGAGAGAGAGAGAGAGAGAGAAAGGACTGTAGCTCCTGCCCTGCTCTCTTGGCTCCCTGGCTCTGAGGAAAGCATCTGTTAGGTGCCAAGGGCTCACATGGTCAGGAGCTGGCACCTCCTGCCCACAGCCACAGGAAGGAGCGAAGGGTATGCATGTCTGCTGGCCCTGGGCGGGCCCTCGGTTGAGCCCAGCCCCAGTCAATACCTCCACTGCTGTAGAAAATGAACTCCGCTCCTCAGCTCACCACCACTGCAGAGGTAGCCTCTGCGGTGCAAACCCAAACCCTCATTCTCTTGCTTAACAACCCAGAGTCACATGCACAGCTGCTTAGCAGGGTCCACCAGGCCTGCAGAAGCGAGTGACTTGTGTCTCCTCCATCCTCACACCCACTGCTTTCCCCTCCTTCTGCTCCTTGTCTCACAATGACATTTGTCAACATCACCTCCTCACAGTAACCCTGTCTTTTTTTTTGGGGGGGGGGGACGACAGTGGAAGTAGGTCGTGGGGCTTGAATTTAGGGTCTGGGCACTGTTTCTGAGCTCTTTTGCTCAGGGCTAGTGCTCCACCACTTTGAGCCACAATTCCACTTCTGGTTTTTACTTCTGGTTTTTGAGGCATTAACTGGAGGTAAGAGTCTCATGTCAACTTTTCTGCCCAGGATGGCTTTGAATCATGATCCTCAGATTTCAGATCGCCTGAGTAGCTAGGATTATAAGCATAAGTACAAGTGTCCAGCTTTTTCTTTTTGTCAGTCATGGGACTTGAACTCAGAAACTGGGTGCTGCCCTGAGCTTTTGTGCTCAAGGTTAGTGCTCTACCACTTTGAGCCACAGCTCTACTTTTGGTTTTCTGGTGATTAACTAGACATAAAGAGTCTCAGACTTTCCTGCCTGGGCAGGCTTTGAACCATGGTTCTCAGATCTCAGCCTCCTGAGTAGCTAGGATTACAGGTGTGGGCCACCAGCATCTGGCAGGGTGCTAATTTTTTTTTTGTCTGTCTTGGGGCTTGCACTCTGGGCCTGGGTGCTGTCCCTCAGCTCTTCAGCTCAAGGTGAGTGCTCTACCATTTGAGCCACAGCACCACTTCCGGTTTTTTTCGTGGTTAATTGGAGATAAGAGTTTCACAGACTTTCCTGCCTGGACTGGCTTTGAACGAGTCTTCAGATCTCAGCCTCCTGAGTAGCTAGGATTACAGGCATGAGCCGTATGGCCCTTTTTTTTTTTTTTGTCGGTCATGGGGCTTGAACTCTGGGCTTGGGTGCTGTCCCTCAGCTCTTCAGCTCAAGGCGAGCGCTCTACTGCTTGAGCCACAGCACCACTTCCGGTTTTCTAGTGGTTTATTGGAGCTAAGAGTCTCAGACTTTCCTGCCCAGGCTGGCTTTGAACTGAGATCCTCAGATCTCAGCCTCCTGAGTAGCTAGGATTACAGGCATGAGCCATCAGTGCCCGGCTGGCCCTGTCTTTTAAATCTCCTATTATTTGATCCCCCTCTGCTATCCCTGATCACCTCTGTCAGTGACTGACTTCCTCACTTGGAAACTGTCTATGGCATAAGGGCAGGCATTCACTATCTGCATCGCTTGGCACCATCAAAAGCCCAGTGCCCTTCAGGAGATGCCCACTCTGCGGCCTCCTACCCAAGCAGTGCCCCTTCCTACCCCAGCACTTACCTTCTCTGATCCATGCAAGAAGTCGTTGAGCGCCTGAGGGTCACTGAAAGAGAGGGAGGAGACACTGAGGAGGTGAGCGGGGGAGGGGGGGGTGTTGTTAGAGAAGGGGTGCAGGGGGGGTGGGGTGCGGCGTTACTCACCAAATCACGTCTAGTAAGCATCTCCCATCCTCATCATCCATCGCCACTGGATGGGGTGGGGTCGGGAAGAGGGCGAGGGAGACAAGGTTAGATTGTGCCACTTTGCCCGGCCCCTCCCTTCAGGGGAGCCCCCTGGAGGGAGCCACAGCTGATGTTCCCTTGGGTCCGTGGGGACAGATGGGGGTGAGTGTCACCTCCCCTCCTAGCCAGAAATGCCTGACTGGGGGCATCCTCCTCTCCTCTCTTCATGCCCCAAACGCCCCCAGTGCCTGCTGCTGCTGACAATGGGGACTGTCCCCCACCCTGTACATGAGGGGTGGGGGGCATCCACATGTCTCCTCTCCACCGCCCTGCAAACAGGTGGCGGGTACTAGGGGCCTGTCCTATCCAGAAGTGGACGAGGATGGGGGCCGATCAGAGAGGGCCCTAGGCACAGGAAGGAGGGCAGGGTGTTGGGGAGGTGAGGCAGGAGGACTCACAGGGTTGGGGGGGGGCCCACGAGGCTGACCTCCATGGTCACAATGATGAGGATGAGGAGGGCTAACGTTTGTTGAGCGCTTGACACGAGCCCGCCCCGGCCGAGCGCTTCACAAAGGTTAGCTCGTGCAGCCCCCGGGACAGGGGCCTCGTCAGCACAGTGCCATGCCCGCAGGAAATGCTGCTCCCCAAACTGTGACCCATCAGCCCTTCCAGCCCTCAGGGAGCCCACCATCTTCCCAAAGCACCCCACCCTCTCTCTGTCCTCAAGATCCTGCCAAAACCCTCCAGCCCTCCTTCCATGCCCTCCCCATCTGCTACTCTCCACCCATCTACCAGTCCTCCTACACATCTGTCCACTGGTCTTCCCAATTTTTTTTTTTTTCCTGGTCCTGGGGCTTGAACTCAGGGTGCTTGTCCCAGAGCCTCTTTGTGCTCATAGCTAGCACTACTCTATCACTTGAGCCACAGTGCTACTTCCAGTCTTTTCTAAAAGAGTAGCCTACTGGAGATGAGTCTCACACAGACTTTCCTGCCCAGACTGGCTTTTGAACCATGATTCTCATGTCTCAGCCTCCTAAGTAGTTAGGGATTACAGGTGTGAGCCACTGGCACCCAGCTCCCAATATTTATCCATCCACCTCCCCGTTGAAATGTCCATCCCGTCTCCATCCTTCCGTCCCTCCAAGCAGCATGGGACCTCACACCTTTCTTTCTGCCCAAACCCCCAGATGGACGAGGCCTTGCGTGCATTCCTAGGCCACCTTCCTTTCCAGTGACACAGAGGAGCAGACACAGCCCCGGGTGGTGGGTGTCCCAGCCCAGGACTACGGCTTTGCATCCTCCCCTCCCTGGGGTGTGTGTGTCCAAGGGTCCTGAACCTCAGTGACACAAGTGTGACAATCACGATTATCCCTGTGTAAAGACACCCCCCAACCCAGTCTCACATGCCCCCAGAGGCTTCTCAGCCTCTCATCCTCTTGGCACTCTAAATATACCTAACAGGGTCCTCATCAGCACCCGGACAACCCCAGCTTCAAGTGCTTTGTGACGTAACCAAGCTCTGGGGAAAAGGACTGCCTCAGAAGGGGTTGGGGGGGGGGGGGGCAGTTCTCTCACAGTCCTTTGGCCCAGACAGGGCATGCATTCCTGGGGCCACATGCCTTTTTCTCCTTTTTTGGTGGCATGAGGGACTGAACTCATGGCCTTGAACTTGCTAGGCACTTGAGCCACAGTCCCTGGTCCTTTTGGTTTTAATTTAGATCAGGTCTTGTGCTTTTGCCCTGGTGGACCAAAGACCACAATCAGCATACCTATGCCAAAGAAAGAGCTAGGAATTAAAGGTGGGCACAACCACACCCGTCTCACATCTTTTTTTTTTTTCTCCCTTTCTGAGCTGGTCCAGGGAGCATCACAGAGGCCCCTTCCTAGACTCTCACTGCACAGGAGAGGAGCAAAAACTCTGTCCTGCCCCTGGCCCAGCTTCCAGCCTCCACCTGTTCCTGCATCCACAGATTGTAAGCTACAATTCCTGCTCTCCCCAACCAGCCATAGACATCTCCCAAAGGCAAGCTGTGCAAAGGATTTGGAGGGAAGGGGGTAGCGGGGAGGAAAGACCTTCCTGTAGCTACGGGAGGCAGGGGGGATGGCCCAAGGTTGGGCCCCAGCAGGCCCAGGCTAGGCCAAAGAACTGAAGGAAGTTTGCTAAGCCAGGCTCTGCCAAGCAGGGATGTGCGGAAGACAGCTGCCCCTCTGAGATGATCTGGGATCCACCCCTGTTACCTGTGCTACAAACGAATCATGAAGGGAAGGAGGGGGTGTCCACTCCAGGTCTACACGGAGCCCCCAGCTGGGGACTTGAAGAGTGTCCTTTTGGGGGCCAGCTGTGGAGAGAATGAGAGAAAGGTTGTAAGTCAACAGACAGCAAGGGTGCAGTGACTCACGCCTGTAAGCTACTCAGGAAGCTGAGATCTGAGGATCATGGTTTGAGCCCAAGTCCTTGTGACTCCCATGTCCAACTAACCAGCCAAAAGACCGACATGAAGGTATGACTGAAGTGAGAGCGCACCAGCCTTAAGCAAAAGAGCCAGGCAAGAGCATGAGGCCTTAGTTCAAGCCCCAATACTGGCACCAAAACAAAAACAAAAAAGGGATGGGGAAGAATGGAGAGTCAGCATGCATGGTGTAATCCCAACCGTGGGCAAGTGAGGCTGGAGGATCATGAGTTCCATGCCCGACTGGGTTATAGAATGAGAATGCTTCATTTAAAAAGAGAAAAATAAACTATTAAGCTTCAAGAGAGAGAAGAGGGGGCAAATAGAAGCTTAAGGCTACCCAAAACATGGCGCGCTGTGAACATCCGGGACATCCAGGGCCTTACCTATCAATCACTCGTACTTCAGCCAACCTCAGGCAGTTCCGTCCTACTAAGTGCCCGGGACACTAACTTAGTCCTTACACCCGGGCAGACTTCCTCTTCCCACCCAAACACGCATCACCTTGCTTCCAGCTGGACGGCCTCTGACTTTGCACACAATGGACCCAGTTGCCCACGGGCCAAAGCTTCTACAGGGTTCCCCCACCACCACCTCCCTCCCCCAGCAGAAGGACTGCGCATGCTCCGGAGGCGCACTACACTGCGCATGTGTGACGCCTTCCCCTCCTCCCCTCCCCCCGCTCCACGCTACTGCCCAACTTCCTGTCTTCCAGCAAATATCCCACCTTCCATTAAGCATCTTCAGGTGCTTATCACTTCGTGTGTGTGTGTGTGTGTGTGTGTGTGTGTGTGTGTGTATCCGTCTGTCTGTCTGTGTCTGTCTGTGAGTGTGTCCATCTTCAGGTGCTTATCACTTCCTCTGTGTGTGTGTGTCCGTCTGTCTGTGTCTGTCTGTGAGTGTATCTGTGGGTCTCCCAGTACTAGGGCTTGAACTCAGGAGGCTGAGATCTGAGGACCCTGAGGACCTGGAGTTTGAAGCCAGTGCAGAGAGAAAAGACCATGAAATTCTTTTGTTTTGTTTTGTTTTGTTTTTGGGTCCGGAGATGGGGCCTGAACTCTGGGCCTGGGTGCTGTCCCTCAGCTCTTCAGCTCAAGGCTAGTGCTCTACCACTTGAGCCACAGCGCCACTTCCGGCTTTTTTCTTTTTGCTTATGTGGTGATGAGGAATTGAACCCAGGGCCTCATTCATGCAAGGCAAGCGCTCTGCCACTGAGCCACCTTCCCAGCCCAAAGACCATGAAATTCTTTTTTTTTTTTTTTAATTTAATTTAATTTTATTTGTGAACATACTGTACAGAGGAGTTACAGTTACATGGGCAGGATAATGTGTACATTTCTTACCAAGCATTGCAGCCTCCTCCTTTGTTTATCCTTCACATCCCTTCCCAGCCTCCCCCCTCCCCCCCCATGAAATTCTTATGTCCAATTAAAGGAGCAAGAAAAGCCAGAAGTGGAGCTGTGGCTCATGTGATAGAGATCAGCCAAGCAAGAGTGCAAGGTCCTGTGTTCAGGCCCCAGTACCAGCACCAAAAAAATTATTTGATCATTCCTGTTCCAAACTTTGTGTTATCAGTCCAGTCCTGGGGCAGCTGGCTGTAGAATGCTATCCCTCCCCCCAACACACACCCAGCTCAACTCACACCAACCTTGTCTATATAGTCTGGACCAAGGACCAAGCATTTTATTTTATTATTTTTTGTCAGTCCTAAGGCCTGAACTGTGGACCTGGGTTCAGTCCCTGAGCTTTTATGCTCACGGATAGTGCTCTACCACTTTGAGCTACAGCTCCACTTCCAGTTTTCTGGTAGTTAATAGGAGAGAAGAGTCTTATGCACTTCTCTACTTGAGCTGGCTTTAAATTGCAATCCTCAGAACTCAGCCTCCTGAGTAGCTAGGATTACAGACAGCCACCAGCACCTAGCCTTGGATTTTATTGTTAAGACAGGGTCTCACTAACTTTACCTCAAACTCCAGATCCTCCTGATTTGGCCACATGCCCAAGTAGCTGGGATTACAGGTACATACCACAATGCCTGGCTAAAAGCAGCCACTCCCTACCCACAGTGGGCCTTCTCCTATGTAAAAATCTCATTTCTGCAGGCCTGGAGTGTGGAGTGAACAACACGATGTCCTTTCAGCACAGGTGTCCTATGGGTCACCTGAGTCCATATGGACAGCCCACCACAGGCCCACACAAGTGTAAGGTGAGCCTTGGTCACTGTTAGAGACCCGGAGTTCCAAAGAAGGGCGTGGCACTACCAAGTACAAGATCAAGTTCAAAACCAAAGTGTTGAAAAGGGAAAAAAAAAAAAAATCCAAGGCTCACTTGTCTTTTGCTTATATGGTACTGAGGAATTGAACCCAGGACCTCATGCATGCCTACGCAAGGACTCTACCACTAAGCCACCTTCCCAGGCTCACTTATTACTGTAGCTTCTCTCAGCCAAAGTGTTGGCTACATTACAGTGCCACAGCACCCTGGCTGTCAGTCAGGCCCAAAGCAGAGAACACAGAGAATGGAGGCTCAGAGGTGAGGCGGGGGGAGGGTGTCAAGACCCTGCCCCAAATCACACAATGGAGCCAGAACCTGAACTCAGACCCTGTGATTCTGAGCCTGCCATTCTTCACCACCAGGCTATAAAAAGCCAGGCTTGAAAAACCACAAGCAGCCTGAGACGGCATTGACGCAACAATGACAAAGCGTCCTTCCAGAAAGCCTGTGAATTCCTCCTCTGCCTGTCAGAACATGGCCCAAGCCAGGCTGCCAGGCAGGGCACCACGTCGGCTAACTCTCATCTCTCAGTCCGATCAATGCATGCTGCTTGTAAGCCACAAAAATGTAAGGGCTGGGGAAGGATGTGTGGTTCAAGTGGAAGAGCACTTACTTAGCAAGCACAAGGCCCTGGGTTCAAATCCTAGCATTGAAGAATTACTTTGAGCCAGGAGCTGGTGGCTCATGCCTGTAATCCTAGCTACTCAGGAGGCTGAGATCTGAGGTTCAAAGCCAGCCCAGGAAGAAAAGTCCTGTGAGACTCATCTCCAGTTAACCACAAGAAAACAGTTGCACTGTAGTATAGAGGGTGCTAACCTTGATAGAGAGAGCTCAGAGACAGCAGCCAGGCCCTGAATTCAAGCCCCATGACTGACAAAAGAAATAAAAATATGTTGAATGCCAGTGGCTCACGCCTGTCATCCTAGCTACTCAGGAGGCTGAGATCTGAAGAACTGAGGTTCAAAGCCAGCCCGGGCAAGGAAGTCTAGGAGACTCTTTTTTTTTTTTTTGGGTCTGGTCATGGGGCCTGAACTCTGGGCCTGGGCGCTGTCCCTCAGCTCTTCAGCTCAAGGCTAGCGCTCTACCACTTGAGCCACAGCGCCACTTCCGGCTTTTTTTTTTTCATTTTGCTTATGTGGTGCTGAGGAATCGAACCCAGGGCCTCAGGCATGCAAGGCAAGCGCTCTACCACTGAGCCATCTTCCCAGCCCTGGGAGACTCTTATCTCCAATAAACCACCAGAAAACCGGAAGTGGCACTGTGGCTCAAGTGGTAGAGTGCTCACCTTGAGCTGAAGAGCTGAGGGACAGCGCCCAGGCCCAGAATTCAAGCCCCAAGACTGACCAAAAATAAAATACATATCAGATCTCAGGGCTAAAACAAACAGATCTAGTCCAGCAGCCATCATGGATGCTGTAGCAAGGAAGGCAACAGACCAGGATGCTGGGGAAGAAGGTCTCCCCAGGAGGCCGGGGAGTTCCTTTGAGTGATGGATGTAGTGGTCAGCTGCTTTTGTGTTTCTTTTTTTTTTTTTTTCCCTCCCACTACAATGGAATGCTTGGGGCCAGTTACTTCACAGATGGGTTGATATAGCTCACAGTGCACAAAGTAGAAAAAGCATGGCATGGATTCTGGTGGTAGGAGTATGGACCACACAAGGGGGGGTAAGATGGGGAGGGGGAAAAGAGGAGGAAGGGAGGGGGGAGAGGGAGAAGAAGAGAGAGAGAGAGAGAGAGAGAGAGGTCTCTCTCTTCTTCTCTTCTTCCCTCCCTCCTATGTAGCCAGCCAGGATCTAATCACCAGGGCTCAGCCTCATGCCCTAATCTAATCAAATCACTTCCAAACACCACAGTGGGATTAGTCACCCACTCTCCTAATACCATTAACGTAAGACTCTGGGGATTAGGCTACTGTGTGCGTTTAGGGGATCAAACCTCACATACGTGACCCAGCCCCGCTTTGGGAGTGGCCCATTAGGATGACTTACATGGCATCTTGTCTCCTTTTAGCTAAATTAATCCTTACAGGAGAGACTTAGGGTACTTCTGAGCATCTGCCCCCCCTGCCCCCAACCCAGAGGGTAAATTCCAGCTTTATATGGGCTCTGGACACTGCGCTGTTACTGACCAGGGCAGGTGGACAGCACCATGCCTGGGAGGAGGGGTGTCTAGGACAAGGCTGATCCTAAGGTAAAACTGGGAGACTATTTGAGGGGGAAAAAAAAGCGAAAGAGCATCTATCTGCCTCCCAAGCCCAGGCCCTGAGTTCAAGTCCTGCATTAACCTAGAATGCTAAAGGTAAGTAGCTAGGTGCTGAGCCTGTCTCTGATATTCCTCAGATTTTCTTTTCTTTTTTTTTTTTTTGTCGGTCATGGGCTTGAACTCTGGGCCTGGGCGCTGTCCCTCAGCTCTTCAGCTCAAGGCAAGTGCTCTACCAAGGCAAGTGCTCTACCACTTGAGCTACAGCGCCACGTCCGGTTTTCTGGTGGTTTATTGGAGATAAAAGTTTCACGGACTTTCCTGCCCGGGCTGGCTTTGAACCGAGATCCTCAGATCTCAGCCTCCTGAGTAGCTAGGATGACAGGTGTGAGCTACCAGAGCCCAGCTCCTCACATT